TTGAACATACGACTGTGCAACCGAGAGGCCGCATTCAACGAAACCTGACATATTGAAGAAATCACCCATTTAAGCGCTTGAGAACTTCATCAATAACTCACGCCGTATCTCCAGGAAAACAGAAACTCAGACAACGAACCAGTTACTCCAAAGCAGTGCACAAGTACACCACAAATCATCAAAACACAACGAAACAATACAAGGTAAAAGAATTGCGATTGAACAAATGCAGCGAAATGTTGAAATCTCTATTGTCTAACCTTAACGAAAATTACGGCCTTCAAGAATCCGGAAACGAAAAGGAGAATCAACGAGAGCAAATAAATTGTCGCATAATAGCCGGTAGAGTCACTGTCTGCGAGACTTTGCTTCACAACTTTTAGTTCACCACTTTCATTAATCAACTGCAATGCAAATAATGATTTATTTCACACTGTCGCTTCCGTAAAGAAATTGATTATGCGTTTTGTCAGAACTTTAACAGTCAACAATATCAGATTGAATGAATAGATTCCATAGGTTTTATGAATCTATCGGATTGAAATTCTTAAGAATTTCACATTTAAGACTGATTATTAAGAAAGATTGCGATCTTAACAGTCAATTTCGGGTTTTGGCTAAAACTCCTGAATAATCAACGTGAATTTCCTGACAGGAGAACAATCCATTTTCTCATAGTATCCATTTCCATAATAATTGTCGAAATAGGAATAATTTTAAAATGTTCTCAAAAGAAACCAATTCAGCGTGTCCGTATTTCATCCATTGTGACAACCATGCGGTTGAGAATATTGTTGCGAAGACATTCAACACGAATGCAATCAAAAGCATTGCCCATATTAAATAAGTTCCTGCAGCGTTTATGTATTCTCTGCAAATTGCAATATTAATAATCCTTATTAATCTCTGATCGAGTTATCTGCCCTCAGATCAATCTCATGTCAGAGTGAACATAATAATTCACAGTCGCAATAATCTGTCGACTGACTGGATGAAAAAAACGGGTAATGAAGAAAATGAGAGAGTCTTACTTGTAAACAGACCACGACATTGCGGCTAAGCCCAAATTTTCCTCCTCTTCGACCAATTGGCCTGCAAAACAAGTGATATTTATCAACAGCACACAGCAAACTACCAATTATGTCTAATTATTACACCGCTATCTCACCATTGACAGTACAACATCAAAAACGCAAAATTCCATGCTTTGCTAATGACGAGCGATTTTCTGTTGCTTGATATGATCTGTCATGTTGACAGCAATCACAGAGATTCATCGTTTATGTTCATCTATTCAGCTCTTGGTTGTTTTTTTTTCAAATGAGAATAAATTTTAGCAGTATTATTAACGGATAAGTCGTAAGGGAGTGGGAAGCTGTGGAAATACGGTGTTACCATTAGTGGCTGCTTGGAGATCCAAATATGAACTCGCATTCGACACTTGCAAGTGACTGGCTGCCGATGTCTTGGTTAATCGCCTCGGTAACGACAACTCTTTTCCGTCCTCATCAACCTTCACGAAATCATCATCTTCTGATTTCTTGGTTATATCCGGCGTTGGTACCGTAGATCCGTGATCTACGGACGAATCTAGTGGATCTGAAATGGTCTTCTTCATTGATTGACTCAAAGTTGGACAGACTGATAGAACATGAATAAGTTTGCTCGCAAAACTATGAAATTACGCATTTATCGCATGTTCCTCTGCGCCACTTCTTTCCAACTACTTTTGATCATAGCAATAAACGAATGATCGCAATAATATTCCAGAGAATCGATGATTTTGTTTAAAAGATGTGTGGAATATGTCGCTGAGATCGTTCAGAGCAGTGGTTATCACATTCGAGTGTTTCATTACCTCTTTTGACAATCTAGCAGGCCGCCGTTACCACCCCCCCCCTCCATCCTCGGACATCCCTAAATTACCCAAAACAGATAATTTCACTCCCTTTGAGAACCACTGTCTTACAATTAGACCTCGTTGTGATGCTCATTATTGCAATCGATTATGATTACATGAAAGCTATTGCATGTGACACGCTCACTTCGAACTGATTCAGATGAACTCTCATTCTTTTCAGACGTGTTCTATTCACTCTCATAGCTATTGCATGTGAATACCGTTCTCTTCACGACTTTTTCTCATTCGTTTCGTCTCATTTCAATTCACAGTTCAAATCAATTTCTCATTCTGTAGCATATACTATTTACTAGATACATTGACGAACGTTGACAGCCGAAGTCAACAATGCAGCAATTGAATTGAATTGTTCATCAAAGTTCGAGAGTCAAACGATCAATTATAGAATGTATTTGATAGAATGAGAATTTGACTTTAACCGTTGAGTAAAATGAATGAGAAATTAGCGCAAGAGAATACATCTGGTGATAAAAGCTATGAGAGCGATTGCAACAGCAAGGAAAAGAATAAAAACCGTGTTAGGTCCAGATGAGCTAATGATATTCAGAAAATAGGCGAATGAAGAGTGTTGCCATCAACCCGACCCCCTCCATTACCCCCAGACACCTCTAAATTACGCAAAATGGGTAATTTCACCTCCTATGAGAACCACTGGTTTAGAGGATGACATGAATGAAGAAACAAAACATTGATATTTTAGGATTGAAGCTCTCAGCAGTCTCTTTTGATAGCTGATCAATGCGGACAAGTTCATTGATGAATGAACATGCACATCAATAAACTGAATTCTATCTTCATAAAATCTCTCGTGGCTAAATCAGAATGGAGCAGATGAAGTGAATCAGTACAAACCGCTACTGAGTGTGGTATTTTCACAGAACAACGCGTATGCTTCACAGCTTTCAAGAAGTTCCTCATGTGGTGCAACTCCGACGACACGACCAGATTCCATATAGACCACACGATCGCAGTGCGCTAAACGCTGAAAATTTTCCAGACGATTAAAGATCCAAAGAAAATAGTATAGTATAATTTGTAAGTGGATACTGATAAGACTATAAAATTGGATTCAACTTAACCTATTCAGTGAATCTGTTATAAACATAGAATGATACTTTCTTGCAGTGCTCGTCTAGACTGATGATGAAGAAACTCCTTAAAGTGTATGCGAATACCCCTGTCGATATAAATTTTTACATCAGAGTTTCTGCTCACCTGAACATCAGTAGTGACAAAAACGACTGTTTTATTGCCCAACATCTCCTGAACGGCCTTTTCAAAGATACGATCGGCGACTTTTTTGTCGAGTGCCGTCAAAGCGTTATCCAGCAAATAAATCTGTCGATTAGCGAACAGGGCTCGTGCAAGGGCGACACGCGCTTTTTGACCACCCGATAGTGTGACACCTCTCTCGCCGATCTACAAGGCGATTTTTGGCTTATTTTGATTCTGCTTCCCAAGAAAGCCCGGAAGGAACCTCATTTAAGCATGAAAGAAACCTTTCGTGATCATTACTGCTAAGATGCTCCCTCACAATTGAGTATTCGGAACAACACATCATCTCAATATCTCAATGAAATTGATACAAATTCCATTTAAACAGAAATATTCCCAAATGAACAGTTACATAACTGCTTGATTTCACTAGTATATTTCAACTAATTGAGGGATTTCTAGCTCGAAGTTTACAACTGCATGCGGACGAATGGTTTCCCCTCTGATGTTTTGGAATCTCAAAACAGAAATTGACAATCGAATTGGAAAGAATGGAAAACCTCAGTTTGATCAGCAGCCTTCATACTTTCCAAATCCTTCGACAACTCGCAAGCGGTGATCGAACGATAGTATCGACTTGTGTTCATCGGCGATCCAAACAAAACATTGCCCTGTACGGTTAGATTCTGAATCCACGGTGTTTGCGATACGTACGCCACACTTCCAGAGACACTCATCGAGCCTTCTTTTTGAGCCATCTATTACAAACAAATTTAACGTCTCAAACGCAATATAATAATTGCACATGCATTCAATTGAAGTATTCTACTCCATTCAACGTTGATCCGATTAAATCTAACGTGTGGTAAATAAAGTTAGCTATGTCTGGTAATGCGATGATGTACAATTGAATTTATTTGTATCAATGAATTAGTCAAATGATCAAATCAGTTGAATGATCAAATTGATAAATCTGATTTGCGTGTGTTCCTGCTTAAGACATTTTTAACAGTTACGTGCGACTAAGCAGTCATGACAATGATATTCTTGTTTAACGAATCATTTTCAGCAAAACTGTCGTAAATACGATGGGCATAAACGCAGTCATGAATGTAGACAATTTATCGATCGAGAAGTACAGTTTCTAACGGAGTATAATAATAGAGAAACTTACGTGTCCTACAATAGCATTCAATAAAGCTGTTTTACCACTTCCCACCGGTCCACACACACCAACGAGTTCTTTCTGAAAGACTTAACTTCATGAAACGTTTCTCTCAAAATTTCAAAACATTTGGCAGCTTGATGATATTTAAGTGAATAATTATATAAAATACTGTTTTTCGAACTGCAGGAAGTCTGTTAGATTATACATACATACGATTATATAGTCAAAATTTTAAGGATCGTTCAGTTTCGAAACCTTTTTGACGGTTAAATCAATGGATTCCAGGGCGAATGTGGAACACGTGTTCGTTTGCTCCCCCTCAACCACTGGACTTCGTTCGGTTGCTTCGGACTGACTCTGTGATGACTGATCTGAAATCAAACAATAGTATCAGACAATATGAATATGCAAGCAATATGATTTATAGGAACATAATCAGATGCTGAGTGGTATATGGTAAGAGACTGATGAAAATTGAAAGTACTGTGATAGGATAAAGGAGCAGATCATGCGATCAGATAGTAGATGATCTTGATTACGATTTCCACATGAGTTTGAAAATTCCTATCGAAATTTCAACTTAAATTCCAGTTACCTGAATTTTCAGTTCATAAATTCCCCTTTATCCAGTAATACTAGTGCTTTATGGATGTCTGCGCTATTTACGTTACTTTTCAGGAACGTATAAATCAAGAAAAACTGAATGGACACAAATGGATACCTTTATCATCTTTATCATCCCAAGCGAATGAAGCATTCTTGAATTCAATCGCAACAGATGGATCTTGTGCCGGTGGAATATGCTGATCATATTCCGGGAATAGAAGCAGTTCTTGAATGCGTCTTAAGGCGACAACCGCTTCAGCGCAATACCTCGAGCCATACGGTATCATGCGAATACCGAATAACATTACGAAGAATACGGTTATTGCACTGAATGCCTAAACAATTTATCATAAACTTCACTTAAGGCTTAAGACAATGAATTAGTTGAAAGTTTTCAGGAAAGGAGCCTTTTTGAACATATTCTTCAAGTGGACTGTTTTGACTATCTTCGGGTAAGGTAGATTGACTTGTACAGGCTAACTATAGAGTTCCATAAAGTTCCTGGCTTCTTTTTGCAAATACTCGATAGGTACTGAGCACTCAGATTAAGTTAGTAATGAGAAGATATTCCATTTCGCTGTACGTGAACAATTTAAGTATCATCACCAGAACCATAAAGTATTTAGCAATCGGATTCAATCCTGATGTATTTCATTGGATTTCAGAGCAGTGAGAATGACATCAAAATCGCTTAGATACTTACATCACTAGCCAGTAGGTCGTTACCCGATAGAACGACACCCAAGAAGGTGAAGATAGCAGCAACTACAGGAACCACAGGTCCTGAGGCTATCGCCAGACTTTGTGCATATCCAGCCTTGCGTAAGTCGACTTTTTCGCTGTGTCGCATCTCTGAAACGCCAACATTTCATCGTCTTCAACGCTTTGTTTCATACAAATAAGCACAGATATGAATCTCTTAAGGAATGTTTAGTAACAAAATCTACGGTTTAGTAGCACTAGAATCGTTCAGATAATGTTGAATATAAGTAACGTAGCAATTGATTACGATGAAGAGAAATTGCAAAAATTTGTTAGCATATTTCATACAGTTGATCAATTAATTCATGAAATTTTTCGGCACCATTCACTGAACTATCAAAATAGCTCTTTCGAAT